AAGAAAACATGTATTATTCAAATCTTATATTTAAAGCAAAGATTCACCATAATTTCCAGTAACAAAAATTGCACAATACCAAGTAACTCTCGAAGTCCAAACAATCTCCTAAGGGACGAGCGTAAAAATGAAATTCACCGAAAAGCTAATAATGCTTAAATCCCCAATGGCTCTATTAAATTTAATAGATCGTCAGGAAGAATGGTGTCATGATTCATGGCTGTCTCATTCTCGATACGAGGCGACATAATGATTACACCAGAGACAATCGATCAAACACCTCGAGCTTCCTGCTTCTCCACAGACTTTCGTTTGCTCATCGTTAACACTACTTTTCGAGGCTGCTACGTTCAGTTTACATAGAGAAGAAGCGACGGAGGGCTCTAATGGAGGACACCAGTCGAAGCAGCCAGTAGCCATTTCTCGCTAGCCCCTTTCGCTTAGCGTGTTTAGCACTCCAACTTGACCGCATAATCAACGTCGTATGAACTGGAATAATCAATGGACGTGTTTCTCGCTAAATGAATTAGTGGTGCGTGCTTCTTCTTCCACCATATTTCTTCTTCTTCTTCTTCTTCCTCTTTCCACTTGTCTCGTTAGGCGCAGGCGTGCCAATGGTACCTCCGTTTAAGCACGTTGCCACATGCTTATCGATTTCAAGCTAGTTTTAAGGCTCTCGCGTCTAGAGAATATTGTCACGGCAAACCCGTGCAACCTTTGGCCTTTCGACAGAGCTGTTTTTATGCACACGATCTTTGGGTTAGGGGTTGTCGAATATTTATAAAAACCGAAAAGGGGGAAGATTTGTCATTGGAACGAGTACAATTAGCGAGGGATTTATCTGAAAATGTCAGAATATTACACGACGGTGGTGGTATGGAAGCAGTAGTTGCATAACCCTTTCGAAGCTTTATCGCTTCAGATACGAATAATACATCGCAATAAGATGCAGAACGTTCAATGAATTGCTTCACTTGTACTGGAAGAGAAATGATGATGTTAATAAGTATGAAACTGGGCCAGACTCTGATGTAACTGTCCCTTGATCTGTTGTGTAAGCCTGTAAGAGGCTCGTTCATTTTAAAGAAGAAACCGATCTATAGTATGTAAATGATTAATCGAGGACATTTTCTGCTTTTCAAGCAGAGATACGGCAGTGTCTTCCAAGCGGACCTAAAGAGATAATAAAAATTGCTGCAAGAAATACGAATAAAAGAGAATCGAAGAGAGAGATATAAATGTGCGTTAAAAAATAATGCTGATACTTACATTTCTCAACTGAATAGAACAGAAGATTTTAGAGAATTATGAAATTGAAAGATAAAGGGGGAAAAATGGAAATTCCTCCTCAAACTCAACCTGAAACTTAAACACAATTGAAATTAATTTCCTCACGCTCAGTCTAATATTTGAATTCAATTCAAATTAATTTCAACCTCGTACTCAAACTTAATCGAAATTGAAGCCCTCCTGGTGCTCAACCTCGTACTCAAACTAAATTGAAATGGATTCTCTCCTTGTACTCAACCTCACGCTCAAAACTAATCGAAACTAATTTCCCCCTCGTACTTAAACGTAACTGCGATTAATTCCCTCGCACTCAAACTGAATTGAAACGAATTTCCTCCTAATACTCGAACTCAACACGCAACTCACAAACGGCAAAAAAATTTCAAAACTTTGCAAACGACGATCTGAAGAAAAGTAAATCGACCAAAGCACAGAAACACAAATATCCCAGAAAATAGCCAAAAATCCACACTCTCAGAAGAAACGCACCGCCTCTTCGTCCTCTCAACCCCTTTACCGTTAAAAGAATCCACATAATAACCCCGGGTATCTTAACAAGTTGATAATTTATTCGAGAAACAAAAAGTCCAGCCTCATGAGAGCACGTTTGAAGATTTCGCGCGGCATGGTTCAGCCCAATTACGCGTTACCAATCATCGCGTACTCGTCCAGCTTCAATCTGGCCACATCTTACCACCTCGCACTTTTATTGCCGGTCGGTTTTTATCGCGCGTACACATCTCTACGTACAAACACACACACTACGTGCCACACACCGCTGGCCGCCGTTCCTCTGTGTCTGCGTGTGTGTACGTTCGCGCGCTCTTCTTATCATAACGAATGTGCGTGTCTGCCAGGGATTAATCGATTTAACACGATTCCCCGAAGCGGCGACGGATGTGTTAACGAGTGTGGTGCAGCCGCGAAGATAACATCGCGGACACGGTTCAAGTCGCCCGTTCACCGAATTATAATTGGCCCGTAATTAATGACACTGTTCGATTATTGACAGGTGGAAGCAACGACGGACGAACGTGAGCGCGGCGAATTACGCGCGCGCCACAGCCGCGCCCCTTTTTTTCAGGCTCCGCTTATTTTCAGACTTAATTACCTGCGATGTTACGGCATAATCAGCGATCGTCCACGGGGCCCCCGGCTGAACGCTATCGATCCAACCAGATATCGAATGTACATACGCGGCTTGGCTACCAGAGAGTCGTTTTACGGTCGTGCACGCACCTTCCGTCCTCGAACATACACACAAACTGGCCACCGCGGTTCCCCCTCCCCCCCTCGCCCCGTTCGGACGATCGAAATTATTCGCGAAATTATCTGAGAGTGAACTCGTGATCAGGTAAAATTGCCGGTAAAAGGAATCCGACGCGGTAGCCGCGCGCAGTTTACGGCTTCCGTTTATGCACGGCCAATTCGCCGATTTAATTGGACGAGACTTCTTTTCGGACTTTTTTCCAAGTTTCACGGAAGACCTGGCGTCACGGTGCTCTTAAGAGATTCCGTCGCGATTTTACTGAGATTCACCGATGATCAATGGATCGACGATAGGAGGAATGACGGGGATTGATGGAAAACTGTGGGACTCGGTGTCACGCGGGTGGAGAGGAAAGTTGACGACATAATGTGATGCACCATTGGCGATTTAATTGACTGTAATTGAATAGTCCTTCCTTTTCAGATTTTCTTAATCTTCGTGAGTTTTCAAGTTGAACTGACTCAAGTATAGTTTCAATTTTTAACGAAAAACAGTCAATTTTCGATTCTCGTCAACTGTATTCACTCGATTGGGTTCTGAGAGGTTAATTTTTTGCTTCTGAAAGAAAAAATTGAAAATTTTCAGGCTGGAAGCAATTTTCGAAAATGTAAATCGGGTTGGCAGCGATGTTGCTGTAAAGGACCATTTTAACTCGAAATAAATTTTTCCCAGCGAGATTAAACAACTGAAGCCTGAGAATTTTTGGATCGAACCTCGTAAACTAGGAGGAAAAGAAATTGGATAGTTGTTGGGACAAACGAAAGTGTTGAAATTGCCGACAAAAGGAAAAAGTATTCAGAGTAACTGAATGAACTGACTCGGGAAATTATGAAGAATGACAGTACACGTTGCTTGTATTGTTCGTATCATAATACTTATTATTCACTAATGATACTTGTCCATGGCTTGTCGTTCATAAAAATGCACGAAAGTGTAATTATGGCGTATGCATGTGTGTTTACGTGTGAAAAAGTCGATCGACCGATCGATACAAATGGTTTCGAATAGAGAGTGTGTTACGCTGGACTTGAAATCGTTCGCAAGTAAACGTTTAATTACGAAGAGACAAGGACGGGAATATTGATACGACGGTATATTATATCTTCTTATCGTCTTGGTATCGAACCGAATAAGAGAGAGAATAGACGTGAAATCAACCGTGAAATGCATATATATATATACAACGTCGCAACGTCACAATACCGTTCGATAATAACAGTTGAAAAACCTATTTTTTTTTTAATCGATACAATAGTTTAACAAACACAGCCTCGCGGTTCGTGAAAACTTAATCGATTATACAACGGAAGATCGTTTGATCGAACGAGTTCCGAACGTGTTTACTTTTTCTTATTCGTTTCTTTTTTCTTTTCTTCTTTTTTTTTTTTTTTTGCCGTTTTCTACCCTCCTCACTTTTCTCACTTTTACTTTATCATTCATTTTCGGATGAGCTTTCACCACGACATACTTAAAATACGTTAACGTATCCTCTACTAATTACGATTTTCGAAGAGCTTAAAATACTTGTGCGATGCGAGCCGGGCTAGCTATGGAAAAGGAAGACGCGTATTTCTTCACGCTGCGATTTACCTCTACGTTCAGCAATTACTATTATCTAAAATACATCTCACCCCTTGCAGTCGAAACGTCGATCCTCTATTTTTGATTCTCTTCCTTGTTCGTTATTTCCTTGTTTGCACTTTTCATCTGTTACACGTCGCTACACACGTTACGCTAAAGGAACAACTATAACTGCGTTTTCTCATTTTTTTTTTTTGTTCACGAAATATCACAGACCAACGAAAGCAAGAAACTTCGTACGAATTTGTCCAACTAACCCCTCGAAAGTTCACCGTGGAAGTAGTCGTTCTATCAGGCAAGAAGAAAGCCAATAAAGCCTAAACGTTATGTTAAAAATGTTCGAAGTAGTATCAGTCTTAAAAGTTGTCGATCGAAAAAACCCTGTGTGACCAGAGATCTCTCCGCTGATCAAACGTATTCAACTGCACAGAGGTGTTCTCGTTACACTAACTCCCCTCACCGTCACGTTCCACAGATAAAACGACATCGAGCTTAACCATCAACGATGATCGAAACGAAAGTAACGAAGAAACGGAAAAGAAAAAACGAAAGTGGGGTTCTAATCACTCCTACGAGCTCGCATCGCGGGCGAATAAGTGTCGAATAATGGAACGAACACCCTCCCGCCACGTTAGAGTACCGGGAGATACTTACACACCGAGAGACTCGCAAAATGGAAAAAAGACTGATTCATCGAAAAGAAGCGCGATACACGTCTTACAATGCGCATCGACGAGGGACAACGATTATAATCCTATCCGTATATGGTGTATACTCGCCTAAAATCGATTGATATCGGTATTAATGACCTTCGTTAATTCCGTCAATAATATCACAACAACACCAGTTAAATCCCGCGTGTTCACTTGATCTCGTACGCGTCCAGGTTGCCTTTGCGCCTCCTGTAGACAGCGGCCGGTTGCTGATCGTTCGTCTGGTTCCCCTCGACGATCGACCGTTTCACGTTCGCCCGATACTCGTCCTCGTACGCGTGCAGATACAAGTTCTTCAGGACAATTTGATTGTCCAGCTCGGACAGGGGGAGGAATCGTTTCGAGCGGCTCTGTTGCTGCGCCTCGAGCTCCTTGAACGTGAACAGCCTCGTGCTCTCGTCGTCGTAGCTGCTCGACCTCTTCGCCCTTTTGCTCTTCGCGCCACGACGGTAATCCGGCGTGGTCAGTATCCTCGACATCTTCATGTTCTGTATGTTCATCTTGTTCACCAACTTCAGAGCCAGCAATCTTCTCTTCGAACGGGGGGGACCGCTGTCCTCGGACGCGTTTCTTATCCGTTTGCTGCGGTGCTTCGGTACATCTTCTTTGGCAGGAATCTCGTTGTCCAGCACGGAAGAGTCGTTGCTGGACACTGTCGAGGATCGGTTCTCGTGGGACTCGATCTCTCTGGGCGTTGCTGGAGTCGTGGTCGTGCTACTCGTGCCCGTCGACGTTGTCGTACCGTTGTTGCTGCTGCTGGTGGTGGTCGTTGAGATCGTCGTGGTGGAGGGATGCACGGTTGTCGACGATTCTGGCAGCGTGGTGTCCTCGGTGCTGTTCAGCTTCGCCTCTATGATATGTTTGAAGAACGCGTACATCTCGCCCACGGTGAACGTGGTGCCGTTTCTCACCGTGAACTTGTCGATCTTCATGTTCTTCATCAGCTCCTCGGTGGCGTTTCTTGCCTCCAGCATCGAGAGTTTCTCCGTCACGTAACTGTTCACGAACTCGTAGAATCCTTTGTAGTAGTTCTTTCGATGTTTCTTCTTGTCCTTCGATTTCTTCCCCTTCTCGCTGTGAGACTGGCCCTTCTTCTTCGAGTCTTTACGATTCTGCTTCTCGTTCCAGCGCATCGATTTGTTGTAGAATCGCATGATTCGCTCGAATTCTCGCTTCAGCTTGATGAACTCTCTCTGATTGCGGATCTCGAACTCGGATCGACTTCTGCCGGAGTTGTTCTTCCTCGACTCGGACAGGTCCACGTGGAAGAAGTTCTTGCTCATCGCGTTCAAGAGGTCGTGCATGCTGCCGTTCGTGGAATTGTTCGACTGCCTCGCGTCGATTCGTTGCAGCTTACGGTAGACGATTTTTAGGAAATCGATCATCTTCTCCTCGCGGAGGCGGGATCTGTTTCCGTGGCCCAGGTGCTTCTTCCAGGACAAGGTTTCCGTGTTGTTGTCGTGGCGGCTCGAGTTGGAGTTCTTCCCTTCGAGCTTGTGCTTCGTGTGCTCCTTGCTCTTGTTTATCTCCAGGTGAAGGAGCTTCTTGCCGATCTTGCGGAAGAACTCGATGAATTTTCTGGAAAAACAGGAAATTTGCCTGCTGTTGGTAGGGTAACGAGGATCGAGGAGCTTTCTGGAAAGAGAAGCTCGCAGGACAACGTGGTAAAACGAGTAGATTGCATTGGAAGATTCAGTTTAGCTTATAATCTGTGGACGATCGACTCTCAAAATACTATGAACGCAGCAAATAAATTCATATATTTTTAACCCTCATCCGTTCCTCGTGTCAATCTGACACCTTTCCGGTAAAAAAATTGTATTACTCGGCTATTTGTAGACAAAATTCTTTGTTTATTTTCTATATTTAATAAAAGAATTTACAAAATCGATTATTTATCTTTTCGTTTCATTGATTTTTTACCATTGTGTCAAATTGACACCGAGGGACCTATTAAGATGTAAAACTGAGGGACGGATGAGGGTTGAGCAATAAAAATAGCTGGCGTGAGCATGAACTCGTATAATTCATTTAAAAAAAAAAGTGAAGTAGAGACCTAATTGTGTTACACAAGTAATCGGTACTTCGACATGTAATTTTCCATCCGCAAAGTGTTAATGCTGTCTATCTGAAGAGAAACAAATTAAATTACTCACACAACACCCTAAGAATTAAATCTCCATACGAAATACACAGAAAAATTCTAATCCCTCAGATTGCAAATTGCTCTACAATCTTGTCAAACATTGAGTTCACAGTTTCCACCAAAGAACTTCAAAATTTTTCTTCACAAATCCTCCCGAAACATTTCCAACTCACCTGTAGTTCATGGTAAGATCCTCCTCGTTGACAGATCTTCGTCGTCTGCTCCATCTGAGCCTGGGATGCTGTCCAGGGATGCACTTAGGCAGTTCCTTAGGACTCCAGTTCCCCCCGATGCAAGTAGCTCCAGTTGGTCCGTCGTCCAACACGTATCCCTTGTTGCAATCGTACATAATCTGCTTGTTGTTCACAACCTTCCTCACGTACGATCTGTAATCGTAGACGCCCATGTTTCCCATGAGAAACACCTTCCCGTTCTCGATGAAACCGGGGAACGGGCAGAACACTTGGTTGCAGTAAGGAATGTCCCCTATCCAGTTGCCGTATTGACACTCGACAGACTTCGAGGCGTTCATAGGTCCACCGCCTACGAGTTCGAAGCCATCCTTGCACTTGAAAATCGCCTTCATGCCGTGATCGGTCTTCGGAGCGATCACCATCCCGTTTTTCGGCGGTTTCGGCATCAGCTTGCACCTAGCGGGCGAGCAACTAGGCACTATGGACCAGGTGCCGTTGTTGCAAACGACCGGTGTGCTGTTCGCTGCGAATTCGTAATCCTCCTCGCAGAAAACCAGCAATTTCTCGCCGTGCTCGACCATGGTCACGTTGCTGAAGTGGTCCTTGTTGTCGTGGCTGGCCACGGTGATGTTGCCGTTCTCTATGTGTGGGACCACGCACTGGGAGAGACACTGCGGCAACGGATAACGCCATTTCCCGTCGATCTGACAGACCGACGAGGTATTTCCCTCGAGCTTCTTGTTGTCGCTGCAGCGGAAAATTATGCTCGCGCCGAGACCGGTACCTGTTGGAAAGGCACGAATCGTTCGCGCTCTTCGATGCTTTTCACTGGATCCTCGAGTTCGTTCTTTGGCAGTTTCATGGAATTCTTGAAATACTTTTTATCAACGCGTTCACTGCCATGTCAGATTTACGTGTTTTGCTCAGGGGACCGCAAGAGAGATTTCATTATTCCAAGCATAATATTGTATTATGCTTTACAATTATCTTTTTTTTAATTCAAAATAATGTTTAGTTAGCTACGATGTAGGAAATTTTTAGTTGACGATATTCATTTTATTTTAATTATTCTGAACATTTGAGGTCCTCCGATCACCGATGACCATCGAGGAAACAATTTCCGGACACAGGTGACCAAAATGGCAGTCAACGCGTTGATGGTACTTTAAAGGCACGTCATTCTAATCTAACTGATTGATTTTAACGAAAATTTACTTGGACCATCTGTTCCAAAGACAGAGTAAACGAACAATTTTTATTTTAAATCGATTGGTCCTGGAACTTTTCGATCTAGAGTAAAAAAAACACAGGAATGAAGGAACTGAAGCTAAAATAGAACTCTCCTCGGGATGTTTTCCAACGAGTAACCCACTTTAGACGGGAAATAGTTTCTAGCCTGACGTAAACCTTCTCTATCGTTTATTCTCGTAACGTTACCGCTTATTAATAAACGCGTCGAAGAATTTTTTTTTTCCTCTCTTACCGCCGCGCGACTCACCCGCCTCGATATTCTCAATCCAACCGTTGTATAGAATACCAGGTGAACCGCAATTAATCTCCTGGCAGGTAGGTGTCTTTCCGGTCCATTTTCTATCTGCCCCGCAGCGTCTGGTCGCCACGCCAACCACCGTGTATCCGTGATTGCACTCATACGACACGATCGAATTGTATGCATACGAGGTGTACACCGCTGTCCCGTTCACTGGATTCTCCGGTTTCGGGCATTGCACCGTTGTAACCTGAACAGAAGAGAAAAAAAAACGCTTCCTGGTCGGATCGTATGTGCAAGCGTTGAAAAACGCCGCCGAAATGTTCGCCTAGCCGTTCCCGTCTGTCGCTTACTTGAACGCATTGTGGCGATTCTTCGGGTGTCCATGTGCCGTCCGCGAGGCACAGCTTCTCCGCTTTGCCCACTAATTCGTAGCCGCTTGCACAGTGATACGACACGCGGCAGTCGTACGTGTAACACTCGCCTTGAACAGAAGAGACGACACGTTCAAACCTCGCGTGGAAATCGCTACAATCGAAGAGCTGAGAAATTGTAGCAATTTTTTCTAATTTCTCTACTTGCAAATTTTACGAGCTAATATTTTTCTAATTTTCGGATACCATCGTTGGCGTGTAAGTTCAGAGGTCACGTGATTAATTTGTATTTGACCAAGTCACGAGTGAATTGACAAAACACCTGCGATCGTGTGGACGGTTATATTTTTGAAAAATTTGGAAGTTTTATGAAAAATTTCGGATACCATCGTTGGCGTGTAAGTTCAAAGGTCACGTGATTAATTTGTATTTGACCAAGTCACGAGTGAATTGACAAAACACCTGCGATCGTGTGGACGGTTATATTTTTGAAAAATTTGGAATTTTTATGAAAATTTTCGGATACCATCGTTGGCGTGTAAGTTCAAAGGTCATGTGATTAATTTGTATTTGACCAAGTCACGAGTGAATTGACAAAACACCTGCGATCGTGTGGACGGTTATATTTTTGAAAAATTTGGAATTTTTATGAAAAGTTTCGGATACCATCGTTGGCGTGTAAGTTCAAAGGTCACATGATTAATTCGTATTTGACCAAGTCACGAGTGAATTGACAAAACGTCAGCAAAGTGTAAAATTCAGGCAATGTATACTCTACCTAAGCAATGTCTCGAGCGTAACTATTTAAATATATCATTTAGGTGTAATAATGTACCTGTACGTTGGCAAAGGTAAAAAGGTTAAAATTGAACAAACGAAACTGAGTTTTCATACTGGCAGCACGAGGAACAACTGCTTCCTACTCCGTCTCAATGACACTGCACTCATTGCAGATTGCAGCGTTACGCAATGAACGATGACGAATATACTCTGTTAATGCTTTGCGAGGTATGCTCTATTTATTTCGTAGTTTTCTTAGGCAGCGTGTGCATTGCTGGATTCTACACTTTGCCGGTGGCACGTAGAGGGAAAAATAAAGTTGGACGCGATAAAATCATTTTAGCCAACCACTCGAGACAGGGTTTGTTTCAGCTTCGTGGAAAAGGAAAAGAATATTCGAAGACGTTGCAAAGGATAAAGAATTTGGCGTTGTGAATATGGTTCCATTGATTAATCTCCACTTGGTTCAACTTCACAATCTCTATTTTTATTTACGAAAGAAAGAATGAATCTTCACCCTCGTCTATAGTAGTGTACATCTCTGATTAACAGATTCGATCGATCTAACAACAGCAAACTTTTAACACTGGCATCGGCATTACATACCGCGTGACTCTCTACGTTCGCCAAAATGAACGAAAACTCTTCTGTAATTCCCTCGCAAATGTCACATCGGACGATTGCAGAAGCTCGTACCCGATTTGAAAATAAAACACAAGCGGTTCGAGCAAAGGCTACGTTTCATTTGAAAATGAAATTAAACGAAGTGAATAATTATTCGAAAATAAAACACAGGCGGTGTATCTTTGTAACGTGACGCCGAAACAAACATCTGCACCGAAGTGCGACAAGGTTCCCGCCACCTTTGAAAATCAGGCACGAACATCTGCAATCATCTAGTATTTCGTTAAAACACTTTTTCTCTTGATAAACTGATACGTAATACCGCTCTCGCTACAAAAGTAACAAATAATTGTCCCGCTACAAGAAAGCTCCAGCTACGATCTATCTACAGGAAAACAACATCAACCAGCGGTATTCCCAAAGTATTAGCTCACCCCATAAGTTCGTGTAAAAGGCGAAAAGCATTTTTCCGAAAACAAACCGAAAATAGCTTCGTAGCGTAACAGCTGGATGAAAAGAGAAATTTGCAAAAATTTCTACCGCGAGATCGAAAATTGCATACGAACTCATGAGATAACCTAACAGTACATACCGGTGTGCGATCCATTCGCGATATCCGCGGGGGGTCCACACTTTCGCGGCTCACAGTTGATATCAGGCCCGAACCAGCTAGCGATATTCTCCATCAACAGACATCTCGCCGCGCTGACACCGTTGGTCACGTAACCATGGTTGCAGAAATACTTGACGACGCTGTCCAGGTCGAAGGTCGTCTGTTCGACGAGTCCGTTGTGCCGCGCGTTTTTCACCTTAGGCGGCTGCGAGCAGAACGATGTCCTGTCTTTCTTGCAGGACGGCGTCGTGCCGGTCCATTGGCCGTCGGCTCTGCACGTTCTCTCGGTGAGACCGACGGTGAAGTAATCAGGATCGCAAGTGTAATGCGCCCTATCGCCGAAAAGTCTCCCCGTAACGGTCATCACAGCGTGCTGTATCTCGCTCAACGCTGGACACTCTCTCTCCGGCTTGATACACGACATCCCGCAAATACCGTCGCATCTGCACTTCTTCTTCTTGCTCTTGCAATCTTCGTCGGTGGAGCACTTTCTCAGACACTTTTGCCCGAGCAATTCCGCCTGTCCCTCGTCCCTCGGGCACATAGCCGACGGTGAATTACGCGGGTTCTTGTAGATCCTTCCATCGTCGTCCACCTCTGGCCCAGTCTGGTAGCTCTGTCCATCGTCGTCGTCGTCGTCCTCGTCCTCGTCATCGTCGTCGTCGTCGTCGTCGTCGTCGTCGTCAGCAGCGGCTGCACGTTGTCCAAGCCTCGCTTCCGACACGAGGAAGAAGATACCGATGAGCAGCATGTGCAAGAGAAAAAAGCCACGAGCTCTCATCGTCGACTGTGCCGCGGTCTCTACCGACGATCTAACCGTAACACCCAGTAAGAGGATTGGCAGAGTCCGCGTCGACGCGTTTATTACGAGCGGTGCAACGTGTGCAGGAAGACCGGGGGAGGCACAATTCAAAACCGGGCCACAAATTGAGGGAACGTTTTCACCAGATAATCACCAGACGTGGTCCATTGAACGAGGTCTCTCCTCTGTTCCGGAAGCACCGTTTAAAGTACCACTCTTCTGATCCACGGGGGCAAACGCGGCACGAGGACGACGTCGTTTCTCTCGCGACCGTGACTATTAATCGAGTCTGCCTCTTCGGCGTCCAGGAGGATTAGGACGGTGTCTCTCTCTCCGTCTCCCTCGCCGCCTCTCTGTTCCCCTAACTCCGTGGCAATTTTTTTCTTTATTGTGCGGACTGCGGCCCCGTGCTGCCGGGAATTCGCGGATACTCGCGCATCTCTGCACGCGCATTCAGCCTGTTCAATACATCTCCTCAACTCGTCCAGCTTCCAGCAGATGGCGAGGGACAGGTGTAAAGCCAGGGAGTTGCGCAGAAACGTGCAATCTCCTCCACTAACCCCTTCTTCTTCACTCCTCCGCCGTTCACCCTCTACCGATAACCCCCCGTTTTACGCGAAACGCTGTCGGGGGTGGCTTCGACGCGATACGGGTTTTATATACGCCTAACAATCGGGAACATGATTCATTCACTTCGCGTCTGAAACGTATGGAATATGCCCGTCTGATCGAGACAAATCTTCTTTCTCCTAGCTATCTCTCGATTTGTATCGCCACGATGCGACAGGAATATCTTCATGGGATGTGTTATTCAACTTTGCGTAGGAAGAATTGCTTTTTTATTTCAACATCCAGGGGATGTGTATTTACGGAGGAGATTGTATGGTTTTTACGGTGACAGAGTGGCTTCTTCTTTTTAACCTCTTCTAATTTTTTGTTTAAATAGTAAGTTTGCTGTTGTGCTTTTATCTGGGGATAGGATATGGAACTTCTTGGTTCGGTGGATTATTAGTACAAATGGTTGAATCAGGGGAGTCGAAGTTTAATTGTCTGGTGTCTGGAATTCGAAATAATGCAGAGGAATCTTGAGATCACAACTGTTCCTCCGGGAAGGGTGCGCAAAGTTGGCTAATTTAAGATAAGATCCTTCGAACGAGGGGTTCTGGAACGTGAATTTAGTTGTTCGATGATTTTCTACGAAAAGAGAGGAATCGTGGTGTCGAGTGAAACATTTCCTTACTGACACACGTCTCGCAAACTTTCTCCTCTTCTGAGAGTAGAATCGTCCGGATAATAGTGTCTCGATAGAAAGTTTCGAATGTAAGGTAGCCCGGCAGCAATTCAAAATTGTTGTCTTAGTCGGACGGTAGAATCTCCGGCGATGCCCAATTACATACATTTTCGCGTTGCTCTTGAGGAAACGTTACCCTGCTACGTTTACGATGCTGCACACGCGAAAACGCCAGGCTATTGCTAACGCGCCCAGTCACGAAAGCTAGCAGCAACACCTGCAGCCACTTTCTAGTCCGTTAACACGTTACACGCCGTTCAGACAAATTGGACTATCGTCTGGAAGTTCGATCTGGCCGGATTTAACGATCGCAACACTGTTCGATCGAGTAGCCCGATCAAAGTTGAGGACTCTCGAGAGGGAGAGTGAGGAAAGGAAGGAAGGAAGTAGGAGAAGAGAGAGATCATGAGAAGGAGAGAGATAATTTGAGAGATCAGGAGAGAGATTACGAGAGGAAGAAAATTTGAGAGATCGGGAGAAAGATTGTGAGACAGAGAAA